TCCCACCCCTGGATACAATCAACAATCAAATCATACTAGGAAACAGTCAATATAAATTGTACGGATACAAGCGACAAAGTTACACTCAAAGTTCTCACTCTCTTTCTCCTTAGATTTGTCTTTTACTTTATGTAAAACTCTCAATAAATACTTTCTTTAAAAAGAGAAAATGGGAGTTCTCAGTTTGCTTCCTGGATTTATATTGCAATTGCTATTTCACCTTCTTTAATCTCTCCTACATTAGGGACTTACACAATATTACCACTTTGTTTAAATGAGATGAAAGGGGAATAATAAATGTCTGAGCTTTGATAGTCACCTATAAATTGATTACATTCTATTTCTTAAGGGAGAACACGCTGACTAAGGGCATGTTTACGTAATGAGCTAGTCATAGTGTGGTGCCCAAAATGTATTTGTTTCTGTGCTTTTTTATGTTTGCTTTTCCACCACACTGTAACATTAAGTGACTCATTAACTCAGTTATGGCTCTTTTGGTTGGTCTCGCTAGAGGTAATTGAGCCTAAACCAATGTTTCAATTCAAAATCAACAGTTTCTGTCACTTGCAAATCATCAGTTTTGTTTTTGTATGTGCACTGTGTGTTTTGTTTGTTTGTTTCTTTCTTTGTTTATTTATTTGGTTTGTCAATTGCTTACAAGATAATAGGTACAACACATGGATACATATAAGAAAAATAAAAATAATAAAAGAAACAATAGGACAGGGACTGTAGGGACGTTGATGCGCTTATGCACACCCCCTACAGACCTCTTAGGAAAGGGGTGAGGTCAATATTAGACAGTCTAAGGTTAAAGTTTTTGGGGTTTGGGGAAAAAAACACAGAGTCAGGTAGAGTATTCCAGACATTGACCATTCTGTTGCTGAAGTCGTATTTCCTGCAATCAAGTTTGGTGCGATTAACCTTGAGTTTGTATCTATTGTTTGCTCTTGTGTTGTTATGATTGAAGCTGAAGTATTCATTGACAGGTAGGACATTACAATTTATGATTTTATATATTATACTTATATCGGACCAAAGATGGTGTAGTTGTAGGTTTTCTAGGTCTAGAATTTTGAGTCTGGTGGCATAAGGTATTCTGCAATGAGTAGAGGAGTGGAGAACTCTTCTTGTGAAATATTTCTGGACTTTCTCAACTGTGTTAATATCAAATACGTGATGCAGGTTCCAGACTGATGAGCTGTATTCAAGTATTGGTCTAGCAAATGTTTTATATGCTCTCATTAGTAGTGTGATATTACCAGAGAAAAAGCTACATAAGATTAGGTTAACAACTCTTAACGCCTTTTTGGCTATGTAGTTACAGTGGGCTCTAGCACTTAGATCATTAGAGATGAGTACTCCAAAATCCTTGACAGAGTTTGTTTTGGTGAATCAAAAAAAAATATCAGGTTTTCTTAAATGATTTTTGCTTCTGTTCTGACTCTCCAAATCCTGTCAGCACTGCAGGCTGGCCTTTGTCTCTCATTCATTATTCAGAAGGAAGAAAGCTAAAATATGGACCCCAGCTTTCTACTAGGAAGTTCCAATCCAGTGATACAGAAGCCATTTGATAATGCTGTCACCTTCCAATAAAATTCTATGAAGGTAATTGTTGTGTCCGTGGAACTGGTGGGGGTTCCCAACCAGGTCCGCTGTTTGAGCGGGAGCACCAGCCGCTCCCATTGGTTGGCTCCGTTTGACAGTCGGCTATATAAGCCGGCTGTCGGGCAGAGCCAGCCCGTTGTCGCCCGCTAGTCTGCAAGTTAGCAAGCAGACGCGACAACCCTTTATTCCCCGCAATAAAGCCTTGTTAGTTGTACGCTCTGGTCTCATGCCTCTTCCTTACCATCGCTTTACAACACTGGCGACGAGGGTGGGATGGTCGAAGGCTAGCCAGACGCGTCTATTCAAAGAGCTATAATCACCGAGAGTGAAGTCATGAGCGCTGTAGCCGCAGCCGCACAACGCTCACAAAGAGCGCGAAATTCAAACCACCATTACTCGAGCCGCAGTCACTGAAACGAGCCGCCGGCACCGTAACCGCGGCTGCCAACGCTCACTAAGAGCGCGAAATTCAAAAAGAGCCATGTAACCCAGAGAGACAGGCACAGCCTGCGCTCTTTTAAGAGCGCGATTTCAAAGACGATAGAAGAAGACGAACCCGACACTTCCCACGATGAATGCTAATCCGCCATTCCCGCCATTCAAGCCAAACGAGGAAACGTGGGACTCCTACAAGAATCGCTTCAGCCATTTCCTCGATGCCATCGGGTTAGCTGACACTGCGGAACACAGAAAGAAGTCTTATTTCCTCAGCTATTGTGGGGCTGCCGTTTTTGACACCGCTACAGCGTTAGTCGCACCACGCGCCATCAGAAGCGTCCCATGGGATGAATTACAAGAAATACTCTCCAATCACTACGTGCCAAAACCATCCCAGATCGCTAGAAGGTATGCCTTCAGAATCAGGAAGCAGGCAGTGGGGGAGTCGATCAACGAATACATGGCTGCCCTGAGGACAGCTGCCTTACAGTGCGGTTTCAAAGAATATCTGGAAGACATGCTGCTGGACCAGATCGTCTGTGGGGTTAGAGACCTGAGACTCCAAAGATGTCTGCTGGCAAAAAAAGGACTTGAATCTGGCCCTAGCCAGGGAGGAAGCCCTGGCTGCTGAGCTCTCTGCCCAGTCAGCAGCTGAGATTCAGGGCACTCCGTTAAAGCCCAGCAGTCCAACCGTCCATTCTGAAGAAGTGCTCAGTGAAGAAGACCCCACAGACTCGTCAGACATTAACTGCCTTAAGCATCAGAAGCCTTCACAGGTAGGAGCGGGACAGACAAACAACTTCAAACAACCGCCCTTGTGCCTAACCTGTGGAGGCTCCCACTCTAGGGCATCCTGCAGGTTTAGAAACGCCATCTGCCTGAACTGCCAAAAGAAGGGTCACCTCGCTAGAGTATGCCAAGCAGGGCGCTCCTTGCCTCAAAGACCTCCACCACCACCTATTTCCCAAAGGCAAGTGGAGGACTGCTATACCTGCTACCACGCTAACCATACTTCCCAAACCCCCGATAAAATTAAAATTTCTGTTTTCCTAGAAGGTAAACCCTGCAGGATGGAGGTAGACATGGGATCTGTGCTCTCAATCATCTCCTGGGATACTCTAAAGAAGATCCAGCCCAGGCTGTCAAGGAAACAGCTCCAAAGATGCCACCTGACACTGTGGGACTACCAGGGCAAGAACATTCCTGTGCTCGGGAAAGGCAAGTTCCTCGTTCAATTTCAAGCCTTTAAAGGCCATTTGCCTTTAGTGGTTGTTAACGGTGCCCTCCCCAGCCTGTTGGGACTTGATTGGCTTCCTTCCCTTGGCCTTAGCGTAACTGGGATCCATGCTGTCTCAACTTCTGACGTAGATACATTATTTTCTGATTTTTCTGACGTATTTAGCAGCGAGCTGGGTTGCTATTCGGGCACCCCCATTTCGTTTTCCATAGATCCCCAGGGAATTCCTCTCCGCCTTAAGCCACGCAGGGTGCCTTTCGCCATCCGTCCTAAATTGGACGCAGAATTAGACAAACTACTTAAACAAGGGGTGTTAGAACCCACTGATTTCGCCAAATGGGAGACCCCCATAGTCACCCCACTCAAGAAGGATGGCAGTTTAAGAATCTGCACAGACTATAAAACCACGCTCAACCGTTATTTACAGGTCAGCGCATACCCCGTCCCTGTTATTCAGCACCTGTTACACACATTCGAACCCGGTACCATTTTCGCCAAGTTAGATATGTCCCAGGCATACCAACAGTTCCCTGTTGATGATCAGACAGCTTAATTACAAACCATAGTCACTCATAGAGGGGCATTCAAGTGTAAGCGCCTCCAATTCGGGGTCAGTGTGGCCCCGGGTATTTTCCAATCACTCATGGAACGGATCCTCCAAGGTCTCCCAGGAGTTGTTCCGTATTTCGATGACATCTTAGTCTCAGCCACGAGCCAACCTCAACTCATTCAGAGGGTCAGGACAGTGCTAGAGAAGTTTAGACAGCATGGCCTCAAACTTAAAAGGGACAAGTGCGCCATCGCCACTAGGCAGGTGGACTTTCTGGGTTATAGGATAGACGCCTCCGGCATCCACCCAATCGAGTCCAAGGTGAAGGCCATCCACGAGGCACCCACACCAACCAACAAGACTGAACTACAAGCCTTTCTGGGACTTCTAAACTTTTACGCCTCGTTCCTCCCGCACAAAGCATCAGTCGCTGAACCCCTACATAGACTCTTAGATAAAGACTCACCCTGGCATTGGGGACCCAAGGAAGCCCACGCTTTCAGATCAGTTAAATCATTACTCACATCGGAAGCGGTTTTAGTCCAGTTCGATCAACGTCTTCCTCTGGTCCTGGCTGCTGACGCATCCCCTTTTGGGATTGGGGCTGTCCTAAGCCACAGACTCCCCAACGGTTCCGAGGCACCAATTGCCTTCTTTTCTAGGACCTTCTCCTCGGCAGAAAGGAACTACAGCCAAATCGATAAAGAGGCCCTGGCTGCGGTTGCTGCAGTTAAGAAGTTCCACGAATTCTTGTTTGGCCACCATTTTGAACTTGTGACTGACCACAAACCTCTCCTAGGACTTTTATCTGGAGATAAGCAAACCCCGCAGGTACTTTCACCCAGAATGACCAGATGGACCTTGTTTCTGGCCGCCTACTCATTCAAGTTGGTGCATCGTCCTGGCAAGAACTTGAGTCATGCTGATGCCCTCAGTCGCTGCCCCCTGCCAGTCCCAGTCGAGGACCCTGCACCAATTCACGCCATCTTTGAGGTCAACGAACTCAAACTTCCAGTGACAGCCAAAGACATCGCGGCACACTCCAAAAAAGACAAAATAATCGCCCAGGTTCTGGACTGGGTGGGAAGGGGGTGGCCGGAAACTCAATGTACAGTTGACTTTGTTCCCTTTAAAACCCGCCAGCAGGAACTGTCGAGGCTACAGGGATGTCTATTGTGGGGCACAAGAGTAGTCATCCCAGCCACCCTTCGAGTACCCATCCTGAAGGTGCTTCACGAGGGCCATCCGGGCATCGTAAGAATGAAGGCGCTGGCCCGCAGCTACGTTTGGTGGCCCGGCATGGATGCTCAAATCGCCAACTGGGTAAGCTCTTGCCAACCCTGCCAAGAAACCAGGGCTGCCCCGCCGGCCGCCACACCCACCAGGTGGGAAAGTGCTAATGCCCCTTGGTCTCGCCTGCACATCGACCTGGCTGGACCAGTGCATGGCAAGACCTTCTTGGTGGTCGTGGATTCCTACTCCAAGTGGATTGACGTGGCCTTGCTTCCCACGACCACCACCCAAGCAGTAGTCAAAGCCCTGACACGTTTGTTTGTCACCCATGGACTTCCAGACACGCTGGTGTCTGACAATGGCCCGCAGTTCACGTCATGTGAGTTCAGTATGTACGTGGCCAATTTGGGCATCAGACATGTCCTTACAGCTCCCTTTCACCCCGCTAACAACGGGATGGCAGAGAGAGCGGTAAGGTCAGCCAAGGAGGCACTCGCCAGGTTTGGCCAGGTAGACTGGCACTCTAAACTGTCTCGTTTCCTGCTTAGCCAACATACAATGCCCTGCACCACCACTAACAAATCTGCCGCCGAACTTTTAATGGGGAGATGCCTTAGAACCACCCTGGACAGGCTACAACCCCACTACTGCCCAGACACCCCTTTAGGGTCTGACAGTCTGGTCAGAGACTTTGCCTTGCAAGACCTGGTGTACGCCAGGAACTATGCGGGGGATCCTTTGTGGGTACCAGGTCAAATCGTGTCAGTCACAGGTCCAAGGTCCTACAGGGTCCTCCTGGAAGATGGACGCTTGTGGCGAAGGCACGTGGACCAACTCAGAAGGCGGCGTGCAACTGATACCAACCCAATCCGACCGGCCAGCGCCAACGTCTCCCTGCTGGTGCCAGACGGAAGCTCCCTGTGGGACCCGGTTTTCCACGACGTACAGGAAAGTCTACTGGAGAACCCGAGTTTCCGGCCAGGGTCACCGACTCAGCAGCCGAGCGTTCCAGTTTGCCAACCGGACCACGAGACTCGCTCGGGTCAGCCTGAGCAAAGGGACTCGCCGACTTCACAAGACACCGCGCCAGGGCAAGCCCCTGCCCCGACGACTGTCGAGGCACGTCCCGAAGGCCTGGACTTGTCACCAGCCAACAGTCCACCCGAACTGCAATGCTCTGGTCGCCAGCGGAGACAGCCGGCTTACCTGCAGGACTACGCATGTTCCCAGCTGGGGGAAAGGAGTGTTGTGTCTGTGGAACTGGTGGGGGTTCCCAACCAGGTCCGCTGTTTGAGCGGGAGCACCAGCCACTCCCATTGGTTGGCTCCGTTTGACAGTCGGCTATATAAGCCGGCTGTCGGGCAGAGCCAGCCTGTTGTCGCCCGCTAGTCTGCAAGTTAGCAAGCAGACGCGACAACCCTTTATTCCCCGCAATAAAGCCTTGTTAGTTGTACGCTCTGGTCTCATGCCTCTTCCTTACCATCGCTCTACAATAGTAATAGTTCCTCTTGGTGCAATCAAATGATGAACTAGAGCATGGGTAGGGACTTAGCTCTTTTATCACTTATGGACTTCAACTCCCAGAATTCCTGAGTGAGCCATAAAAGATTCCTCATAACTGGCCTACTGGTTTTTCAGTTGTGCGGGAAATCAATTTTTGACTTGAATGGGACTGTTAATATACAAATGCAGGACATATAAAGAATAATAATATAAAAAATATGTCCTACATTTGTATATTAAACAGTCCCATTCAAATCAAAAATTGATTTCCCTCACAACTGAAAATCCAGTAGGCCAGGTATGAGGAACCTTTTATGGCTCACACAGGAATTCAAGGAGTTGAAGTCCATAAGTGATAGAAGAGCCAAGTTTCCCTACCCATGCACTAGAACAGTGGTGGCTAACCTTTTTCAGCTCTGTGTCGAAAATTGCATGTGCAGTCTCATGCGCGCTCTCGCATGCCAACACCCAGAAGGCAATGTGTGCTGACCCTCCATCATGCCCCCTGAGCATGCATGTGTGACCCCCCCTATGCTGTGTACCTCTGTGCATGCACGCATGTCTCCCACGCACCCCACCCCTGCACATGTGCCAGATACCTGACAATCAGCTGTTGGGTAGCAGTGCACACATGCACAGTGGGGCTCTTCCGGGCAACCTCTTCGCATGCTGGCAGAAGTGGCTCTGTGTGCCACTTCTGGTACAGGTGCCATAGGTGTGCCATCACGGCACTAGAGGAAATTCAGACAGGTGGTGATCCTGAGTTAGTATCATCCAACACCTTGGATATTCTCAATATCAAGGTGTAATATTAACCCTTTAGATCAGGCTTGTCCAACCCGTGGCCCACGGGCCGCATGCGGCCCGGGTCGCCTCATAATGCGGCCCAGTGCCCACCCCAACCTTTGTGCCAGAGCCAGTGAGGAGGAGGAGGAGAGGCAGGCACGAGGCAGGGCGAGGTGAGTGCCACGCCAAGCAGCAACAGAAAAGGCGGGTGCTGTCAGAGCACCACCTCCTGCTGTTGCCGCCACCGCTTCTGCCCCCGCCTCTACTTCTGCCCCCGCCGCCGCTTCTGCCCCCGCCGCTGCCGCTGCTTCTGCCCCCCGCTGCTACTGCTTCTGCCCCTGCTGCTGCTGCTGCTTCTGCCCCCGCCGCCACTTCTGCCGCCGCCGCCGCCACCGCTGCTTCTGCCTTCCAGTCCTGCTGCATCCAGCCAGGCCATTTTTCAGGAGAGATGTAGGCGTGAGGCGGGCGAGCTTTCTTCCCTCCCCTCCCCCCCACCCCCGCAAAATTTGGCCGGAAAATAAACTGTGATAAAAAAAAACGTGATAAAAAAAAACGTGATAAAAAATAAATAATTTTTAATTAATAATTAATAATAAACACTTCATTTCCAAATAAATTTAATATGTTAACTATGTTTTCTATGGGTTTTTTTGGATGACCAGGTATCATTACTGTTATTTTATTTTATGTGTGGCCCAAACCAAATTTTCATCTTCTAATGTGGCCCAGGGAAGGTGAAAGGTTGGACACCCCTGCTTTAGATTAACCCTTTAGTTGTAAAATTATCAGGAGAAAGCTGAACAATAATTAAAGAGCTTTATTAGGTTTTTGCAAAAGGGACCTCCCTGCTCATATGGCGGAGCCAAGGAGGACATATTTCCATAGGAGCATGTTGCTTAAATACAGTTTCAAAGCCTCAGTCTTGGTTAATGCCCCACTAACTTCATTGATTAATTTCTGAGTGGCCCCATGCCTCTTCCTGAAACTTCATCTCGTCCGTTTATTCATTTCCCACAATCTCCATTCTCTTGGCAAATCCAACTTATTGGCAACATTATTCACAACAGGACAGCTTGACCTGCCAACAATTTCCTATGACTTGCCAAACTATGTCCTTGTGTCATGCCCCTGTTGGAGACTGACTCTGAGAAAGAGGAGGAACAGCCAACAGGGAGTGGGACTGTGGCTCCCAAGGTGGTGGAGGAGGCTGCGGAAGGGCAAAGGCCAGCTGAGCAGTCAGAGGAGGATCCAGGCCCATCCCCTATCCATCCGAGGTCACGCAGGGAGGAGAGGATCAGGGTAAAGAGAGGTCTACTCAAGAGGAGATTACCATGATCCTCCTTGTGGCTTGCAGGTGGGAGCTGTGCATATAAGTTTGTAACTGCGCAGTTAGAATTTGCAGGAGTCAATTTAGTGTTCAACTTGAAAGAGGTTTATCTTTGCTGGCATTCTTCCCATGGACTTTTCTTGGTTATTTTCATGGAGTTTATGATTAGTTATCTTGGCTTGCTTCGGAACTCTCATCAATGTGGTTTGTTTTGTTTTTCTGTTTGCCTCATTATTTACTTTTGTGACTTTAAACTGTGCCTAGTAAAACAGTGAAGTTAAGTTGAAGGCCTTACTGGACTTTAATATACGTTTTAGGTTTTGGGTTATTTTGAGAGACTATGGGTCATCACATTTGGACTCCTGCAACCCTTCAACTTATTTTTGCTTTTTGTGGGGTGACCATAGATCAGCTCAGAGTGGAGATTGCCCAGTTAACCCAGCAAGTGGCTCTTTTGACTGCACAGGTGGCACAAATGCAAGCTGCCCGACCATACCAAAAATGCCCAGTGGCAGTGCCAGATAAATTTGATGGTTTGCTGGCCCAATTTCCAGCATTTTTTGGGCAGAGCCAGCTTTACATGAGCCTTTGGCCTGAGGACTTTCCCACTGACTGGGATAAAGTGGGGTTTTTGATTAGTTTGTTGTCAGGCTCTGCAGCACATTGGGTGACTCCTCTGCTGACCCAGCCCAACCAGGTGTTGGACAATTATGCTGAGTTTTGCCATCAGTTTCAGGCCATGTTTGAGGCCCCTGTTCGAAACCAAACAGCAAACAGATGTTTGAGAGAGTTGAAGCAGGGGCGTGGCTCACTCATGGATTATATTGCTAGTTTTGGGGTGGTTGCTCAGGATGTACAATGGAATGAGGCAGCACTATTAGACCAGTTCCAGGAGGGTTTGTCATCGGAGCTCCTGGATGAGTTGGCGTGCACTGAATGCCCTTCAGGAGCTCATGGATTTGTGTCTTCGTATCGATGCTAGACTGCAGCAACGATGGGTGTGATGATGGACAGAGAACATATCTGTTTCCAGCAAGATGGCACCCTTGGTGGAAGAGCCTTTGGAGGAACCCATGAAGTTGGGGTCTGGCCACCCTCGCCTGACTCAAGTAGAAAAGAATAGATGTCGTCGTGATGGTTGATGTCTCTATTGTGGCAATCAAGGCCATTTTGTGGCCAAGTGTCCTGTTAAGACATCCACAGCAGCAATACCTGTGGTGGCGGGAAACGAGCATCACTCGGTCTACAGGGGTCTGCAGGTCAGGTTGTAAAGTCCATAGGTCCACCATCTTCACCAACCTTGCCATCTTTGACATCTTCAACATCTCCACCACAGTCACTATTGGTGAAGCATCGTGTGCTGCCAGCAAGTGTGTTCATGCCAGGTGTGGGAGCGGTGGAGATCGCAGCTTTGGTCAACTCCGGCGCCACAGCCAATTTCATGGATGCTCATTTTGTCAAGCAGTGGTTCATTCCTCAGCAACAGGTATCCCCACCAGTAATGGTAGAGACGATTGAAGGTCGGCCCCTTTGTTCAGGACCTGTGGTTGCTGCAACCAAACCCCTTTGAATGCATATTGGGCAGCATGTGGAGGAAACTGTGTTTTATGTCGCCACGGTGCCTCATTTTCCAGTGGTGCTTGGCTTGGAGTGGTTACAGGCCCATGATTCACAGATTGACTGGTCATCTGGAGCTGGGCGATTCCTTGATAGAAAGTGTGCCAACCATTGCTTGCACTCCTGTGCAGGGAGTGTGGCTATGCCTGTGGACCTGGATCTACCTGCGCAGTTGGTGGACTTTGCTGATGTGTTTGGGGAGAAGGAGGTGGATCAGTTGCCTCTGCATCGGGCCAATGACTGTCCAATTGACTTGTTGCCCGATGCAAAATTGCCGGTGGATCGGATATATTCCCTGTCGGAACCAGAGTTGGCCGCGTTGTGGGATTTTATTGACAAGAACCTCCGGAAAGGGTTTATCCGGACTTCTACCTCCCCATTGGCTGCATCAGTGCTTTTTGTGAAAAAGAAATTGGGGGAGCTACGTTTGTGTTGTGATTACTGCAAGTTGAATGCAATCATAATGAGGAATCAGTACCCACTTCCCCTCATTCCTGAACTGATTGAGCAGCTTTGTTAAGCTAAGATCTTTACAAAGTTGGACTTGTGTGGGGCCTACAATCTGGTTCACATTCGTGCAGGAGATGCGTGGAAAACAGCTTTCTGGATGAGGTACGGACATTTTGAGTATACTGTGATGCCTTTTGGATTAACCAATGCCCCAGATGTGTTCATGCATTTCATGCACAATGTTTTCTGTGATTTGTTGGATCAATTCATGGTCATTTATTTAGATGACATTTTGATTTACTCAGACTCCCTGCAGGAACATTGGCAGCATGTGTGGCTGGTGTTGCAACATTTGCGTGATAATCACCTGTTTGCTAAACGTGAGAAGTGTCAGTTTGCACAAACCATGATTGACTTCTTGGGACATCATATTTCACCTGCTGGGGTGGAAATGGACCTGGAAAAAATTCAATCGTTGCAGGAGTGGGAACCTCCACAGTAGGTTTAGGATGTGCAACGACTGTTGGAGTTTGTGAACTACTACCACACATTTATTCCCCACTTTGCTGCCTTGACTGCTCCCCTTTCTAATCTGCTCAAGAAGGGGGAGAAGTTTCATTGGGGAGGAGGAAGGAGGAGCAGGCAGCTTTCAAGGCATTGAAAGTCGCCTTTGCTTCTGAGCCTATTATCAAACACCCTGATTCAGGCTAGCCATTTGTGTTGGAAACAGATGCTTCCGATGTGGCTGTTGGTGCAGTGCTCCTCCAGGCCTATGCTCTCGCAGGCACCCTGATCCCGTGTACTTATTATTCCTGGAAGTTGTCAGCTCCAGAACGCAACTACACAATTTGGGACAAGGAGCTATTGGCAGTTAAGGTCACTTTTGAGACATGGTGGCACCACCTGGAGGAGGCTCGTCACCAAATCGAGGTTCGGACGGATCATTGCAATTTGGAACACTTACATACATTGGAACAATTTGGAACACATCAGACATCGAACCAGTGTCAGGTGAGATGGTCCTTATTCTTTGCTCAATTCAGTTTCTGGGTGACCTATGTTCCAAGTGGAGGGAATCAACATGCCAATGCCCTATCTTGGAAGCCCGAGTATACCCGAAGGGAGGATAAAATCTTGCTCCAAACAGTGATTCCATTGGAGCAGTTTGTGGCCACT